AAATAATTTTTTTGCACTTTTATATTTATTGCTTTCTAGTTTATTTAAAAGAATGACGATAAATAAGTTGTTTCACGTCCTTATATTGGATTTTTGGAAGAAAACTCTTTTTAGAGATGAAATGGGCTAATTAATGAAAAACAGATGATAGTAATGTGGCAAAAAAACGTTTGAAGATATAATACTTTAATAAGCAAAAATTGAAGATATTATGTGTTGACCTCAAAATTTGCTGCCAACAGATGCCGGAGCACTCGTGCAGGAAATAAATTTTTAAATTAAAACATTGTTCGCTATGCTCTTTGAACAAATTTTAATTGAAAACCTTGGCCTGAATTTGATTATCAACTTTGACAATTGAGTAATTGGTCACCAATTTGATATTTTAAGTTGTGTTTCTTTGTTTCTTGTCCACATGCAATAGGATGCGGTTTAGTTTCAAATAACATCCTTTGAAAGTTAACCGTAAATTAACGTTAAAACAAGCATTAGGCCACACGCTTTTTTTGAAAAACACAATCAAACTGATATCATTTAACGAAATTATCCGCAAAAATGGCACAAGAAACAATGAAATACAACTTGTCCAACTAAACAAAACCTCATAATGACGTACAAAAGAAACAAGCTTGTGGACCACTTTATTTCCCTTTAGATGTATAGAGTGATGAGAACCATCGCCAACTTTTTACAACAAATTAACAATGTCAATCAACAACGCCTCATCCGGCACAAAACGAAAATCAGCAGCCAAGCTCTGGATTATTCGCTAGGAATCACATTCAAGCAACAATTGATGACAGCCATTTGAAACACCAAAGAGAAGTCTCTCCCTCAGCCCCACCACCTCTGCATCCTTGACTGAAAAACACCCCACCGTCCACTTCACGAAAGCACCCACCAAAACTCCCTCATTATCTCTAATCACCACCATACCCCAATAAACCCCGTCACCCACCCTCACAACAGCATCAGTGTCGAGTTTAAATCTTGTCTTCCCCGGTAGATGCCAGCATTTAGAAAGGCCCAAATGAGAACTTGCCATTGCCACCACCTCCCTTCTCTCACCGTCCTCACCCACCTCGCCAAAACCCCTCAGCCATCTCCATCAAGTAGGAAATAGACCCCATGATACACCTTATTCCAACCCCTCTCCCTCCCGTCCCAAACATACCAAAAAAGTCCATAATGTCCCTAGTGACTAGTCGCTTAGATGGTTCACTAAAGAGCAATGCATGTAAGATGGTTTCACACTCTCCATATCGAAAGCAACTCCGTCTAGAACCAATCCTACGCCTGGCCAAATTTTTAGTTTTGGTCTTTAAAATGGTACTTTCTTCCACCACTCCCTATTGACCAAGCTGCTCGAACCTTTCATCCGTTTGATTGTTAGAAAGTCAATTTCTTAATTTTTTTATTTTTATTTTTTATCGAACGA